ATTGTCAATACTATTGATATGTCTTAGGAAAAGTGAGTCTGGGAAATGCAAAAATGTCACAAGCTTTGTTTTACCTTCATTTTAATAGAGCATAGCATGACCTGTATAGGAGGGGTTGACTACTTCAATTAAGTTTATGCTATTTTCAATAGGACTTCCAATCAGTGCATTTAGCTGGAAAGCAATTCCTGGCTTTATTATTACTGTTGTCATCCTTAAAATGTATTCTATTTATTTTTTTAATTCACCAGGAGGGGCGAAGGGGAGATGGGAGCAATAAAGAAAAGGAGCCAGTAACATGCCCTTAGGGACCAACAGCAAAGGGAAAAGAATCACAGGGGAAGAGATGGGAGATGAAAGTGAAAGACATTATCTTATTAAACCATCATAATTAAGAAGAAATAAGTATTCATAAAGAGACCCAAGCCCAACGGCCTAAAGATGTCTACAGTAACACAGGCAAATGTTTTCGAATAAGTAATAATCAACAAATAATCTACATAAAAAAGCAATCCGACCACAGGACAATGAGAAGTCAGAAAGATCTTCATTCTCACAGTTCCCAATCTCCCTCAGTGCAGGGTGGCCAGATCTAAACTGAAAGACACTAAAGGAAAGAAAAAGTGGTAAACTCTTTTCAATGACACGGAAATTCTGGTAAACACAGAGAGAAAAAGCGTTTGCTAACAGAGCGCCTCATTCCCTATCACCTGTAGCTTATATTGTGGGAGGGTTCCAGCTCCAAACTCTTAAGATTACAATTGCTGCCAGAGATCCAAGGGAATCAGGGCCTGAGGATGAAACTGACCCCACATTATTCATTTTGGCACAAGACGGGAATTAATTGGATGGATTTTCCCTTAGCTCCTGCGCTTTGAGTTGGCTGGACCTCTGAGCACAGAGGAGACAGGCGGAAGGAAAGGAGGAATACGTTTGGTCCTTGGACACCCCCTAGTGTCTATGTGAGCATGAACACGTCTGGCAGGTACATTCCCTTTTTTTCCCGATGTAATGAAAAGAGAGGGCCAAGATGGGCTTCTCAAAGCAGAAGTCCCAGGACGCCACCAACTGGGAAGTCTGCTCTTCTTTCAGGAATCCAATTGTCGGACCCCCTCACCCCACCCCCACCCCCGTACTTCCTAGAATTCCTGTTTGCTAGTAACTCTGTATTCGTGTGTCAGAGTTAGTCTCAAGTAAATACAGCAAATTATAAGTGGAACCAGGAAGGACCTATAATTTGCTTCCCCCTCCAAAAAAAAAAAAGAATTTCACAGTTAATATGCTGGATGCAAAGTGGAAAAGAGAAATGGAGGAAAAATCTATTTCAGAGAATATGTGGTAGTTTGTCTTTATATGGATAACTTGTGAGTGTTTGAATAAGCACTGTGATGTATTTATGTTTACCCATGTGATTGGATGTGAATACTGAATAAAGTCTGGGAAAACTGCTTGCCACTTCTCTCAGTCAGCGGTTCTCTGAGCAATATTTCATTTGTGTGATGAAGATAGAATTTAAAAGTGGCTTGGAAAAGCTTTGGTGTAAGCGCCTTTGAAAGTTCCCATACAAATTGTCTGTGACTCCCTTTCCATCTAGGTAAATTAATTTTGGGGATCCCAAGGTTATCTATAAACTAGATTTTCTGTATAAAAGTAGTTTTAAAATAATGAAGCATTACTATGGATGGGTTTCATTCACAATCACCTTACAGTGTAAATGTGCCAAGTGCTACAATATTTGGCTATTGTAAATGCTCAAATCAGCCCAGAACTCTCCACAGTTCTTGGGAAAACATCCTATATATGACTTAATGGTACTCCAAGAGAACTTCACATTTTCCTAGCTTTCCTAACATAATCCTTTCTTCCCACTGCTTTTTGGAAACTGAAAGTGTATTAATTGTTGAAGACTTTACATGGAAACACAGAGCACTGCCTCTTACTGCACCTGGCAAGGTTGTATTTGCAACCTGGGCTAGGACTGATTCTTTACAAAATCACATTAATTTTAGAATTCAAAGGCCCCTGATTCCCATTCTTGTTTAAGGAATGCAGAGTTTAGAGTGATTTCATGACTTCCTCTGAGCCACGTGCCAAGGTTACCAAGGTTGCCAAAACGCTACAATAGGAATGCGGGTATCCTGCACCCAACCCATGTTTGCTCACTGATGTTTGGAAGCATAAAATTGCACAGGAGGAGGTTTATACACAAAGATTTCATCTGTGGCTAGAAAAGGGAAGTCTGACTGGAATGCCTGTACCCTCTATATTGAGGACGCATTTTCTGCAAGATTGAAGTTGTCAGCCAACGCCTACTGTACCCACCTGGGAAGACTGTGGACTCAAGGTCCTTGATTTTTCATTCATGAATCACACATGTGGCTTACATTGTTGGTTAACAAGAAAGAAATGAGAGAAGGAATGTCAGAAACATCTTGGCCCTCCCCACCACCACCCGCAACCTAAGGGTGTGAATGAAACTGTTTTGTTCCTTGCCGGCAAGAAATGCTACTGTTTTAAATGCTGAACAAAGATAGCACTTGTTTCTAGTTACAGCCCTCACAAAATAAACTTCCTTTTAAAAAGGAACCTTGGCATATGGTAACAAAACCTATATAATTCTTTTGATCTTTAATATCTATGCCAATGTCTGTTTTACAGATTATGGCCTCAGCCCGACAAATCTGCTTAGTGAATTTTTGGCTGACAAACCTGGCAACACAAATGCTTTCTGAAATACATTCAAAGGGCTAAACATTTCCATAATAGCTACTTTACATAGCCTAGTAAGTTTCCCTTTAGGACACCAATTAGATTTTTTTTTTAAGTGACAGTGTTAATTTTTATGATGACACACAGAACTGAGATTTTTTATTTAATGTGCTGGGCCTTCTTTTAATGCTTTTAAAGGAGATCAGCCACTTTGCCAATAGACTGATGTTGCAGAAGGGGTGATTATAGTAATTTTTCATGTAATTGGGAGTCACCACTTGGTTGCTATCTTTCACATGCTTGTTGACTCATCATATAATCCTTTATAATGGGGCTTGTTCTGTCACAGGAACGTGCCAAGCAATGGGAAATAACAAACAGAGGAACCCCCCTGGTTGGTGGGGACCAGGAGGGTTTTAAACATCTGCCTGCTTCTTTAGACTTCAATAAGCTTTCATTTAGTAGCAGTGACCAAACATGAGAGAAGGGTTGTGGAAGATTTGGAGAGAATCTGTGTTTTCTCTCAAAGGGAGATGTCTTAAGGAAATGAGTCTATCACAGACTGGAAGAACACAATTACTAAAAGATAAAAAGGCATACATGCTCATGAGAAATATCAAAACCTTTTTGATTCATCCCAGAAAGTCAAGAATTTAAGCCTCAAACAAATGGAGCACATTGTCCCTCAGGTTCACTTCTCACATTTTTACTTCTCATCTCATGGAACCCCAATAGTTAGCACAGTGCTTTGATGGCATGAATGCATGAGAAGAAGTTATATACGATTATTAGATGATACGCAAAATTAAATAGGCAGAGTTAGAGCTGGAAGTTGGGGTACCTGAGTTCTTAGCCCAGATCTGTCTTCTTGGGGGATTTGTGTGAACATAACAAGACAAGGCCTCCAATTTCTTAATATTATAAAGCAAAGAGGAGCTCCACTGTGATTCCTGAGTTTCCCCAAAAAAGAAGTAAAAATAAATAACAGAGTGAGTCTGAAAATATTTCATGAGTTAAACACTAAATACTAGGCCTTACAGTTTAACTTGAAATGATGGTTTCTGTTAACACTTTGCCATCTGTGAACCAGTAAGGTTGGCACAGCCATCTGCAATGTACATTCTATCTGACTCTGTATGTATAATTTCCTTTGGAATTTTCCAAGAGTATTAGAACTGATCTGCTCATGTTTATGAAAAGTATCAGATGAAAAGAATCTGTATTTTTTGCTTATATCTGATCAGTGACTGCTTTACCTTCCATGTAATCTATGACCATTGACAGCCGTGTTGACAGAAGACAATAGCTAGAGTTGGATCAGCTGGACCCAACTCTAGAATACTTGTTTATTAAAGAACTTGAATTTACTTTTTTTTAAAGTTTTTTTATTTACAGTTCTGGAGATCGAACTCAGGGCCTTGCACATGCTAGGCCAATGCTCTACAACTAAGCTATAACCCCAGTCCTTGGATTTGCTTCTTCACTTAGTCATCTAAATTTCATTTTATATCAGAAGCACAATATTAATATGCACAAGTTTACTTAAGTCCTAAGATCTAAGATTAACCCTACTATGAGGACTAATAAGAGTTAGCCCTAGGTTAGGTATCCTCAATGAATTCTAAACAATTTTAAATAAGCAAGCATAAGATATAAGTAAAGCCTAGCCAAATATATACTTTATTAAATCAAGTTTAACTCTTTAACCAAAAATAAATGCAAAACAAGATTATCCTGTTACAAATTAAAAATGAGCATGTGTCATGTATTTTTATACTGTTGCTACCCATAATTACTTCCAATATTTAATTTCACATACTCTTTGCTTTCAAAAGGCCATCAATGATATAAGTCTCTGACAGAAGCTTGCTGAATAGCAGAACATTGAAGAAGATAGTTGGTAAAATTCAAATATATTTTTATTTAATAATTACTTCAGATAACTAGGAACAAAGACAGAATCCATGAGACAATTTCTTCTTTGATAACAAAAACTTTAAATAATTAAACATAACTTTATACTTTCTAGGAACCCCTAAACATCAAGGACATTATACTTGTTGATAATCTTCCCAGTTATACAGAAATTAATAATTAAACTATGGATTATTAAATAAATTTTTACAATCATGCTTAGAAGTTCATTTCATATATTACAATTAGCTTTTAACTTATTTCAAAATAGGAAATTCAGTTCTATTATTTAGATCAGGAGGGTGTTCTATTGGTAATGACTTTTATTTCACTTATAGTGGTCATGACAACAGAATCTACAACTTACCAAATCATAAGAGCAGCTTAGAAGTGACATGTCATTCTTTTTCTTAAGGGAAAAAAATATTTTCTCTGTTGAATCACATTTAGAAATATTAAATATTCAAGAACCCCTGTCCTTTCATAGACTTACTTGCTGGGTACACATAGTGCTGTCTGATAAACTTCTGGTATCCAGCCAAATGATACTGATCAAATTACGGAGCCAAAAATTTACACACTCTTTGTCATATCCCTGTTTTACAGAGCTAACAACTTATTTGATTTCATTAATAAACTTGGTTTGGTAACAGTTTTATCATTTTCCTCCTTGTTTTCTTTTAAACTTAGAAAAAGAGGGAGGTACATGCAGACAAGGGCATATTAGGATTGATGTATCCACTAGTTTTCCTCTTGAGTTTAAAATCATAAACTATTCACTAACGTGAATTCTTGGGAGCAGCCTGTCAGATCCATTGTGATCATTAATATAATGGCATACTGTAAATGCCACTGTAGTTAAGGCTGTTATCTTGGTGACTGCTGTTGTTTCTGACAATGCTATTAATAACATTACTATGTTGATAATGCTACTTACAAACAATGTTAAACACAAACAACACAATTGTACTTCATACTATACATACAGGAATAAAGTACTTTTCCTGGCCAGAAGCTGATAATCTAAATTATAAGTGACACCCGTAGTGCTCATCTTCAGAGCATCTATATATGGGATGTGAATGAGTGAGACTTTACCAAAGGAATGCTGGAAAACCAGTTTTACATAATAGCTCCTCAGGTACAAATTGAAAGTTGGAAAATTGTGTGAAGATTTGAAGATGAGAAACTCTTTGATGAAATGAGACCACTGTAAGTTAAGATAGAGACAGAGAGGAAAACATTTAGAATTTCAAAAAAGTATGTATTGCAGCAGTAACAAAGAATGAGTAGGAACTTTATTTCTCAATCTTTTTCTTATTACAAATAGAATAAACTCAAATTTTTAAAATGTATATAATATAGAATAGTATAAAGATAAAAAATCATTTGCAATGCTGTCAATAGGTATATAATTTAAATTTTGAGTAATTTATTTTGAAATGAGGAAGAGTCCTAATTAGGACAATTTATCTAAGTACTTTTCAGAATATCCCATCATGACCCATTAGTGGAAGGTACAATCAATTTGCTTCTTTTTCTTGTAATAGAATGGAAGTTTTTATAGTATAACACAAGTTTTCATAAAACTTTGTTCATATATGCAATGCATGCAGGTACAGGGTTATGACGTAACATGAATTTCTAAGTATGGGTCACAGACAAGATTCTGAAATTAATGCTTGAGAGACTTCCGTTACCATGATTTTAGTTGATTTATTTGAAAAAGGGGAAGGCATTTGTATAGCATTCTAATAATGGGACATATTTCCCAATAAGCTTAACCTGGGTAAGAAAAATCTTTAAAATACTATTTTATTGTGATGCTGATGGAGATATCAGTTCCCTTCACTTGATTGCATTTATGTGTGTTGGCTGCCATTGAGCAGAGCCAGACACTGTTGTCATCCTTATGGAGCTCACAAAGTAGATATTAATCAAATACTCAACCAAATAATTGTAAAAATTTCAGCTCTGACAAATGTCATGGTGCTCAGAAGGCCCATAACAAGAGAATATAATCTAACTTAACCTGAAAAAAAATTCAGGGAAGGCTGCCCTGAACAGGTAATATCACTATATTTTGAACAATAAAGTGAAGAGGAAAGAACATTCTAGACAGAGAAGATAGCATATTCAAATGTCTGATCTCCAGAGGGGTCCCACAGAGGATAAAGACCAAATACTCACCCACTTTATATAATGACCTGGGAGATTAGTACAGGTGCTGGACCTAAATTTAGCAAATGTGTATGTCCAATTTTCTCCCTGAGGCCATCAAAGAAAAGAAGTTCAACGGGTTAAAAAAGCCTAGATGACTCTGCTTGAAACATAAATGTAGGTGGATGGCTTAACCCATTTTGTGCTGTTATAACAATATACCAGAAACTGCATAAATTTATTTTTAAAACAAATTTATTCCACAGATCTGGAGTCTGGGAGTTTCAAGATCAAAGGTACCCACATGTGGTGTGGGTCTTCCTATTCTGTTCTCACGTGGCAGAAAAGAGCAAATCCACTCTTCTTATACTAATCATTTTTATCAGCACTAATTCATTCATGAGGGTGGAGCCTTCATGACAAAACACGTCCCTTTATGCCCCACTTCTCAACACCTTTATATTAGGGAGGAAGTTTCTGACATTTGAATTTGGAGGGACCCATTCAAACCAAAGCAGTGGGTTCAATTACCTTTTATGTAGCCTTTCAGTTCTGTTATTTGTTTTCTTACTTTTCATTATGCTGATAGTTCAATTGTGTGACTGAAAGCAGAAAAGTCTTAAAATGCAAATGGGCATCTTCAGGTTCAGTACTTGTGTTTATTTATGTACAAGTAAATTATTTCCTAATAAGAAGAGCCTACTAATATCTCTGCTTCAGAGAAAAAGAGCTAGAAAACTAAAAATGCATCTCGTATGCTCTGGCAGGACATAATAGGCTGCTCAACTTTAATTCTATATTTCAGACAATGGGGAAGAAGCACATTTTGAGCTCTTGGTTTCTTCTACTCTAAAATCATTTTGCCAGTCATCTGATAATCACAATCGGGATTCTTTAAAGAAAAACAAGATTTCTAAAGGAGCAGCACATTTAATTTGAGCAGATAACTCCAAAAGGCTCTAGTTTCTGAAGTATCACATCACAGTAGAAAAAATTAGGGTAGATAAATTTTATTTTGTCTTTAAAACCCTATTATAGTACTTTCTCAGTCAAGTGTGGTGATATAACACCAGCACTAAGGAGGCTGAGGCATGAGGATTACAAGTTCCAGGCCAGGCTGGGATACATTGCAAGACCCTGACCCAGACCAACAATAAGAACAAAACAAAATATTTTCTCAGAGCACTTTGGTAGGTTTTTTTCTCTCTCTCCACTAAAGGCCAATAGAAATTAATTTGCCTTTTAAAGCACTGTTCACATTCAGTCTATAAAGTTATTTACCCATTCATTCCTTTAACTAACACTAGCTACACACATACAATTGTGATTTAAAATATTTATTGAGGGCTGGAAGCATAGCTTAAGTAGTACAGCACCTGCCCAGCAAGCACAAGGCCCTGAGTTCAAACCCTAATACCGCCCCCCCAAAAAAAAATACGAATAATATAATGATATAGCTATAAAAGAAACTCCTCTAACTCATTTCCTACACAGGAAAAGATACACTTTTTGTGACTACTAAATCTAATTATGACACTTCCCTATTTCAGTGGTATTCCTCTGTACTTCATAGTATACAAAAATCTGGTCTTTGCCTATTTTCCAGTCTTATCTCATTAGCCCTCTGCTCCAGTCACACCAGCCAGTTATCAGCTACCACTTGGAACCTTTACATAGGCATTTTCTGAACATTTCCCTTCTTCACCTGGATATGTCCTTACCCTGCAAGTCCCTATTTAAGTGTCCCAAGAGTCCAATGAAAACAGCCCCCTAAAAGGTCTCCCTGTATTTTGTCTTCATAATACTTATCATAATTTATAATCATGTATTTTTTTTTACATGAACCTTTTTTTTTATTTTTAAAGTATTACTTTCCTCCACTAGACTGTAAGCCCCAGAAAGGCAAAATCATGTCTGGTTCCTTCACCATACAGTAAACCCACCTGGTTCTGGTTCACAAACTTATCACACATAGTTTTGTTTATGTGTGGTCAAAAACATAATAGATTTTTTAAAATAAAAACTAATTTCAAAAACAAAGATTTTAAATCCCCACATGCAATACACAGCTGAATTAATGCAGAGAAGCTCTCAGTCAGTCCCATGTTAGATCAGTTGTGTTTAAATAATTGTGTCATCTGCTGAGTGTTTCCCTGCCCTTAATTTGGTGAAAGTATGCCAAAAAGAAAATGGTGCCCCCAAAAGCACATTAAGTTAACGTGCTTAATTTAAGTAATAAAATGAAACTTTGAGATCTGTGAATTGGCAGCATGTTGGGCGCCATTCTGGGAAAAATGAATCAAGCATCCACAGTACAGCACTGAACTCTATGCATCCTGAACATGAGTGGGTTTTCCTCAATATGGTCTCATTGGAAGTAGATACCCGTTGATACCAAGGGTCTACTGTAGATGATAGATAGGTGATAGGTAGATAGGTAGATGAAAGGTAGATAGATAGTTGGATGGATGGATAAATGTAGATAGATAGATAGATAAAGCATTTAGCTCAATAAATGTCTGTAAGAATGCTTTTGTTTCCATCCTAGAGCCACCACTGATTACTTAGCCTGGTACTAATCACTTAACCTTTCTGAAATCACTTTTATCATCTAAAACTGACCACAATACTACTTCCTTTTGTATTATATTTAATTTTTAAAAATACCCTGTATGCATTGCCTAAAAACAGAGTAGATGTTAAATAAATAAATCAATTTTTCCCTATTCCTCTGTCCTTCACCTCTAAGTACATCTAATCATGCTTCAACACTGTCCAAAATAAAGAAATGATTCACAAATCTGGCATTTACCAGCCACTACTTTCCCTTCCTGCTCCCCAATTAAGAGAAAGCTCATTTTGAGGTTTAATGGAGAGTGTCGCAGGTTCATCAGAGTTCAATTCAGCAGTCTGGAGTGAATCTGTAATAATCCATGACCACAGACCAGTTTGTATTTTTCCACTAATAAAACTCAAGAATGGCTATGTTTAAATGGAATTTTGCAGGTCATTAATCCATTCTAAGGACTGACTCTATTTAACTGGGAAACGTAGTGGTAGGAGGAGATTAAGAGTCTGGACTTTTCTAGAAGATAAGGTTATAGGCTGTCTATATTTTATGAATTTATCTTCAAAAGAATTTCTGAATGACTTAAATGGAAGTCAAAGAGGATTTGAATGATAAAGTTGCAATGGCTTTCTACAAAATATCAAACTCTGGTAGACCAAAAGGTTCTCTCTTATTTGAAACTGAGGAAATAAAGGCTTTAGAAGACTGTCCTTCCTTGTTCTGAACTGACCACTGTTATGTGTTTTGCTATCTCAGAAAAAGACCCATCCCTCTTGTAAATGATTGGTTGAAACAGGCAGGTGTCACAGTTTTAGTCAATGAGACACAAGGGGACATGGACAAGGAGAGTTCTAGGAAGGTGTTTCACCTCTTTAAATGGAACTCAGGAGAGGAACATTGCCTTTTCCTGCCTCCTGATGTTGTAAACTTCAAATTCCCTGGTGTATGGCAGCTGTTTGGGAATCACAGCTTGGGGTATGTGAGATAAGAAGTATTATTATGCACATATAACAGAAGAAGAAAGTGGAGTTTAAAATGTGTAATTTTGTTCACCATACTAATAGACTCTCTTATTAAGAATTGCCTGGTAAATCTCTACTCTCCCCATCACCCACCATTTTTTCCCCATATCCCAACCAATCCTGGAAGTTTTTAGTCCTAGCAAATGCCCACACCAATCACCCCCAAACACCATCTTTTTTAAGAAAAAAATGTTTAATATGCCAAGCTCAGGGCTGGTGGAGTGGCTTGGCTGGTAGAGTGCCTCCATCACAAGTGTAAGGTACTGAGTTCAAGCCCCAATACCTCCAAAAAAAAAAATCAAAGATTGAGTTTTAGGGGGAAAATGACCCAAACATTGTATGCACATATGAATAAAATAAAAATTAAAAAAAAATATGCCAGGCTCAGTGGTGCACGCCTATGATCCCAGCTACTCAGGAGGCTGAGATGGAAGATTACAGTTTGAGGACAACCTGGTCAATCTAGTGAGACCCTATCTCAAAACAGAATAGAAAGGACTGGGGGTATAGCTCAGTTCAATCCCCAGTACCACAAAAGACAATAATAATTTTTAGATGAAATAAAAGTTTTAATGTACTACTTGTAAGAAAATGGCCCTTTATTGACCTCACACTTCAAGGGGTATTTGGGTGGATGGATAAATGGAAAGATGTATGTATACAGATATTTCATATATATACTTATTTAACAGATATTGAATAATGTACAGTAGTCCTCCTCTACTTGTGTGGAATGCATTCTGAGATTTCCCAGTGGAAATCTTAATCTTCTTCTT